GATCGTACGTGATGCAATATTGCTGATTGAATGGCAATCCCAAAACCCATTCGTAACGGTATTCATCGAGATTCGTTCCTCTGATCGCTAGATTACAATAGCCCGGAAACACCTGGAGACAGAGCGGATGCTTAAATTAAGGAAGGAACTTCCATTTCGAAGAGTTAGGAAATAATTTTCTCAAGAGGAATTTAGTTATTGCAACTTCATTCAGCCTTGTTAATGTGAAGGTCACTGCTTTTGGTTCGGATGAGCTCAGCGATCAATGGGAATCACTCTCTGTGCGGGATCGAAGCTTTTGAATCCCCGTTCCATTCCCGGGATCTGTTCTCCAAAAAATCTCAGAATGATTTGATAAAACGGGACATCATGTTGTATAATTTTTACAATTCACTCATCTTGTACTACTACAAATTGATCATTCTCAGTTCATTCATCTTAAGCAGTTGTTTTCTTAGTATTTCAATCACTGAAATGGCAAGTCGCTAGATCAACCGATACATAATAGCGCCTTTTCGGTTCTCGTTTTTCAGGAAGCACGGACAAACATTTCATGACGATATCACTATTACTTCATCTTTCATCATCACCGTTACTTCCTGTTCCGTTTATAATGGTTTTCCAATTCCAACATTATGGACTGGCACTGAAGAAGAACTCGTCATCGATTCAGTCTCGATTGCGGGACGTCAAAACTGATGGCATTTTGCAAATACTCACTGGAAACACTGGAAACTGTGGTCGTTTCCAATCTCTACAATAATTTGCAAACTATTCAGCTAAGGTGAGTATTAATAAAAAGAAAAACATCCACTACCTCTTCAACATACACATCCTTGGTGAGAACGAACTCAAATCCAGCAGCCATTATGGTTAAGTTTTCCAATGACCTCTCACAGTCCACTACATATTCGGAGAACTGCTCCTGAACTCCTAATCAGATCAAATTCGTATCCATGAAATGGCGATCGTAGAAGAGTGTCGCTATTGTCATTCAGTATTCATCTAATTCGTTGGCCATTGGCATTCGTAATATTTCTCGAAATAGCTCACAATTTTGCAGCAATAGCTTTCGGTTATGTGAACTGAATTATTCCTATTGTTTTTCTCTCGTCCACAAAATGACAGGGATAATTCAATTTACTTAGCAGCTACCAAATGATCAAAATTTTTGAACACTTGGCTAATTTGTTGGAAGTGTTTATGACCACCGTTCTTAATTCAGTTGTTAGTTTAGCACGGAATCAAAAGAAGCCAACCGAACCTCAACTCCTAATGCGTCCCCAATTGCAGAGAGTACCTTCTTTGGCACATAGATGTACGCATGTGCACTATCCGAAAGCACCGCTGTTGGACTATCGATGATTGTTTTTTGGCCAACTTTAAGCCTTTAATAATTTGATGCATATCATCACCAATTGTGCATTGTTCAAAAATTTGGCCAAGAAAAAACATGCATTCCGCCGAAACCAATGGAAAATTGTGAAATCCATTGTGAAACAGTTTCGATGTACGACAAATGAGAATGCAGTATGGGCAATAAGAGATTATGAGTGTAAGCGGTGGTCTGAATGAGTGGAATTACTTTTGTATTTCGAACTGAAATGCAGTCTCAGAAGACAGCGGAAGGTAAGCGATGTTCGCATCGCAGTTGTCTTCGTCTGTTCCACCGAGCGTGAACACTCCAGCGTCTTCCTGAACCTTATCAATGCTCTGACTCTACGAAAATCAGTTGCAGTGATATTCAAGCAGATCTGGCAAATATTGGTGTGGTATTTGAAGATACTAACCACTTTCTTGGAAAACATAGTGAACATGGCTTTATCGATGAGGTTTTGTTGAAGTGCAGCTAGCAGAGGTGGAGGTCGCTTCAAAACGCTTCCAGATGGAAATCCTAGTCCGAAAACGCCATCAAATGGTTCGTAGCTTTTTGGTACGACGGTTGATGTTACTTGACCAATAGATGCGTTGAATACCATTCCACTGACCTGAAACTTCCATATTTTCGACCCTCATCGATATGATTTTGGATTGCGCCTACTCGCACACATAGCGTATTCATTATCTCATTGATTAATATTATACGGTTCACAGTTATTATCGTTAGAGGCAAAAACCCTAAGGCCTAGGCTCTAATCGATGACAGCAATTAATCCACACATTATGTGAGCCCAAAAAGACATCGTAGAATGAAGATATGCATCGTGATTATATGCAAGCTGAATTTGGAAGAAGAAACATTTCCAAATGAATGAGATGAACGAGCACCACTGCTATTTCCGATTGACTCACATCAATAGTGTCGATTCCGCGGAATCCTCCTACCTCAAACAGCCAATGATACCATGCACCTTTATCGTCCTTATACGAAGTGGATTCAGCTGCGTTAAAGGTTTGCCCGTAACTGCATGCACTGAAATATTGACTTGCAGCAAATTATGAGCCATGCTCTCAATTATTCTGTACTGTAAACTAGGGGTACTGTTGAGTCACTGCATCATTTATTTACCACCAGATCGCCATAGTTTTACAAAGGATGTGCACAAAAANGAACCTTCCAGTAAAATTATTGAATATTGTCCAGCATCCTTCTTTGCACAACGATTTCGCATAAATTTCCGGTATTCCATAGCAATAGAAATCGCACTCCCCACAACTGCTACTTGGAAACCATAAGTCAGACGTTTCACTGTCTAGCAACACTCTCATTTGTGTTCTTCTGGATCCAACGTAGATATTCGCAACGTAATAAGTTTTTTCAAATCGTGTCACCTGCAGATGCATCCAGAAAGCATTTTTTGAGAGATTATTCATGACAAAGTATTCCCTCAAAAAGTTGGTCAAGTGAAATTCCACCGTAATGCTCACATTAATTTTCCTTCCCTCACCATCCAACTGAAGCGTTGATTGATCTCGTTGCAAATGCACACGTTTCACTGTTTGTTGATCACTACTCCTGATTCGTTCGACCGGAACTTTGAATGTTATTGTGTTCACCGGAATTATAAGTGTTAATATGACGAGAATAGCGGATTGAGTTTGGCTGATGTCCATATTCGCTCGACTGAGTTTATGTGTCGGTATGTTACGATATACTGAAATAACGATTGTTATTGGACAAAATCTCAGTTATTTAATAGTAAACGATAGAATGCCCACAGATCGCCGATTGAGAAGGATATTGTGGAAAATGATTGAAACCATTTCACTATAAATTCTCGCCAACTCAGTTCACTGAGACGATAGATACACAACTGACGGTGTAAGCTAGATCGCGTCTGAAATGATAGTTGTATCTTGTCACTCAGCACGATGCCGGAGTGTCTTCATATTCAGATAAGAAAGATGGAATCGTTTGTCTGGACACTTGTTTAACCATCAGTTCAGATTAGGTGTTTGAGCACTTTTCCAGTTGTCGTCTGTCATAACATGTTTGCTGCATTCATGTTACCATCGAAAATTATCATGNAGATTAGGTGTTTGAGCACTTTTCCAGTTGTCGTCTGTCTTAACATATTTGCTGCATTCATGTTACCGTCGGAAGTTATCATGGTTAGTGTCATCGAAAATTTGGAACTGTACTTGAGTTAATGCACAGTAATGTTGGTATTGATTCACTGTTTTGTTGCTTATGCTGTTATCAGTGAATTTCTGAAGATGTGATGCAAATACAAAGTCGTTTGATCGGTGGTTTGGTCGTATTTTTTCCGTTTAGCATGTAAGCATGCATGCATGCAACAAAAGTTGCGAATTATTTTCTGCACACTGCTTACACTACGGATAATTTTGATTTTGATATCAATTCCAAGTTTGAGATTTGGTCACAAAAACTCCCAATTGCAAAAAATATCACAATTCGAAATCGAAAAGAATCTGAATTTTCCGAAATTTTTTAAAATCTAATGACAATGATTTGATCAAATTTATTTTTTGATGTGAACTAGTTCAATGTTCAATGTTTGTCTCAAGCGTTTGCATCGTAAACATCCTAAATCTGTTCTAAGTCTGAGGTTGAGTCCACTTGTATAGTTTTGTTGAGGATTATCCTATGGGCTGAAGCTGAGATTCATCGTTTCGGTTTCAAGCATATGCGTGCAAGTGACACTGGCAAGAGTGAACATTTATTGCACTTCCTTCACAATACACGTTTAGATAGCCGTTAAACTATTCGAGATGGCAAATGAACAGCACTGAAAAACACCAAGTAAGAGTTGCTACAAGACCAATGATCGAAATGTGTTTTGAGGCACTACAACTTCAGCTGGGCTTGGAACGAAACCTCCTCAAACTTCTTGTAAGGAACAGCCAAGAAGCTCGCTCATTAGCATTACTGCTTACAATGGATACAATCATCGCTAACAGATCTACAAATTCCTAAGCAGATGATAATTGAGGACGAATGCAAAGACAATGGTCAATGGTTGTGATAGGGCAGTTATGAGTGGACACACTGAATTGTTTGTTGTCATAAATTTTGAGTAATCTCAGTTTTTCAATTNGCAGTTATGAGTGGACACACTGAATTGTTTGTTGTCATAAATTTTGAGTAATCTCAGTTTTTCAGTTCTTATGGCCCGTTGACACTACGAATGAGTGAAGACTAGACAAATCGGTCAACCTGAAGTAAATTTATAAATTGGCACGATGAAAGTTTAGGAACATTACGACCAAACGCCCATTTTGCTTTAGTTTCATCTGCAGTAATTACTTATTGTACTGATAAAGTTCAGAATGTATAAGTTCTACGAGCCAACAACCCTCATGAGTGACACAATATCAAGTCTTGCGAATGAAAATCGTCACACTCAATGAGATTGCAGTTGTTGAGCAAATTTCAGCATGAGGAAACAAACGGAACATTTCATCACGCCTGAACTGCACCTCTATCACAACCGACATCACAAAATGCAATCGCGCAATTCGTCCAATGAGTATCCATCCATCCCTTAAAAAGCCGTTTTTGGCCTTTCGTCGATCCATTTTGCGATGTTTGGTAGCCGACGAACCGCTTTCGTATATTTCCTAAGTTTCGGAACACCATTCAAGAAGCCAGGAACCAAATCTTCCCAAGTTGCGAGTGATTCACTGACCACAAAGTCAGCCCATGTTATCGTTTTTCCGACTAAATATCGACCATCCGACTTCGTAAGAAACTTCTCAAGATATGGTAGGTATTTATCGCGTGCGGGCACTACTCTATGCCGAAAGACATCATCCTGAAAAGGTTCAGCGT